GGACTTAAGGGCTGACTTTGATCCGGACCAAACCACCACATCAACCAGGACCATGCTCCTTCGTTGCTAGATGCTAGTTTGCCATCATCGTCATCACTTGATACTTGTCCAATTTCATCATCCAATATTGATTTGCCAGCATTGAATCATCCAACTTATGTCAGTTTGCTGCCACCGCCATCCAATATTGGTCCATGATCACTATCTTCAATTCATTTTCCTTCATCATCTAATGCTAAACGCCATTATCAAAAGGGAATGTTCTTTTGTCATCATCCAGGTCTGATCCACAGCCCTCATATTACTGTAATTGTCTCGTGCTAATCCTTTGGCATTGTTTGGTATCGAATCGTCAATGTCAACTAGGATTGGACTGCTACTATCGATTGAGACTGGATCGTTGATGTCATTCTAGTTTCGATAGGCAGAGTCGATCGTTAACATCATCTGAGTTGCCTTTAAATTCAAACATAGAATTTAAAATTTGAAATTTTATTTAAGATCCAAACAAAGTTTTTTAATATTATAATTTGAAATTTTTTATACCATCCAAACAAATAATTTAGAATCTATAAATTTCAATTGTAAGATTTCAAATATAAGATTTTAAATTCAAATTCCTAACTTAAATCCACTAATCCAAACACAACTTTAAAAAAATTACTGAAGAATTATTCCAAAGTCCCACACAATAACTGAAAATTCTCTAAAGTCCTATCAATCACACAAATTATTATGCAGTTCCAAGGTCTTTAGAAGTAATTAATTTTTTATGCACATTTAACAAATACCCTTCCTTTGGCTTTTTTTTTTTCAAAAAAAAAAATCTTCTCCATTATCGTCAATGCCAAAACCACCATCACTGGCTAGTTATCAGTAAGCAAATTATTGGTCATGAGTTGGTAGGATTTCAGGACACAACCTCTTGGATCCCAAAAGGTTATATTATTGCTAGACCATGAAGCCATTGGATAAATACAACAACAATAATAACTGTGACAAGCCTTATCCCACTACATGAAAGCTTTATATATATATATATATATAGAACTTAATGTCAATTACAAAACATTAGTAGTCAATTCTTTTTGCCCTATTGCCATTTCGTTGGCTTTATTGTCATTGCCCTTTGCCTCATTATAAATAATTGGTGTCATGTAACTTGTGCATTTTATTAAAAACTTATTTTACTTTAAATTATTTTAGTTGTCAATGCTCTTTTTCTTCTTATCATTTTCTCTTGCTCTATTGTCAATGCCCGCTATCTCATAAATAACTGATGTGGTATAATTTATGCATTTTATTATGAATTTATTTTACTTGAAATTATTGTCATTTTCGCTTACCTTGTTGTTAGTTCCCTCTACCTAATTGTAAATAACTGCCCATGTTTTCACTACTCCTAAAAAATACTTTAATTACTACCAAATGTGTAGAGTAACAAGTGCATTGAAGCATTGAACCTTGACATGGCTCACCCAAATAAGAATGAGAATTTTTTTCCTCTATGGGTTAATTTTAAAAACCATGCTGCCTTGCGTGAGGGTGGAGATGGAAAAATTCTCTTTCCTCCTTCTTTCTAGAGTAGGAAAGAAGGGCCGGGCCTGGAGGGCTACCCATTTAAACCCATTTTTATAAAGGCTCGGGCTTCAAAAAATGATATTTTTTAAAAAAAATTAGGCCTTCAAGCCCGGCCTTGGTAGGCCCTAAAAAAAGAGCTCGGGCTTGGGCGACTCTTTTAGGCATGTTTTTATTTTTTCCTTAAAAATAAAATATTTATAATTTTTAAATTGAATTTAAACTTTAGAATATATGTTTATACTTTAAAATTAGAATTTATATTATTTATTTTTAATTTTTAAACATTATGATTTGTATTTTTAAACAATATATGAAATATTATAATTAAAATTTTTAATTTTAAAAAATTTTAAATAATAATAATAATAATAATAATAATAATAATAATAATAATAATAATAATAATAATAAAGGCTTACAGGTCTTGTCCTGAGCCTTTTATATAAGAGTTAGGCTTTAAAAAATAAGACATTTTAAGAAAATTAGGTTTAAGGGTCAAGCCCATATGGGTCAAGCCCACCCGTTCCCCCCTCCCCCCTCTTCTATTCTACCAAGAAAAAATAAATTCTAATGAAGATTAGGTCCAACAAAAGAAATTAAAGCCTATTTGGCAACTAGTTTTGAGACGAAAGAATAAAAAAACTTTATTTGGTAATACATTTTTAAAAAGTATTTTAGAAAACAAAAAATAAAATATTATTTTAGAGAATAAAAATAAAAAAATAGGTAATTTGAGATTATTATTTTGAAAAATAAGAGAGAATGAGAAAAATATATATTTTTATTTTTTTTGTTTTCAAAACATGTTTTACAAAACATCTTAGAATAATAAAATAAAAATAATTCCAAACAACTTCTTAATTTCTTACAATATGATAAATCAAAGTTTGGATGTTCATTTGGAGAAATGCTTACATTTAATTTTCAATTATACTTTAAATATGATTGTTTTTAATAATAAAATACGTTTGTACAATAAAAGAAAAGGAAAGAAAATAAAGAAATGATTTCCTATTAAAAATATGAAGATGAGAATTGAAAGCAAGGACTTTAATATAGTATAAGTCCAATCTTAATGACATCCCCACACGTTAACGAGAACAAGGACAAGGATTATTTCATTGGCTTGGATTTTAGAATGAAATTTGGCCTTCTCTTTATCTTATCTGGCTGTCTCTTTGTCAAAGGAATGATGATGACGTGGCTTCTCAGCCTCCTGGTCAGAGGCAGAACATGGTCAAGGTCAACCTTTGATGTCGAATTGAGAATGTTCAAGGAAACGTGGTTATCCCCATAATGAGCATGTTTAGAGCACCATCTTAATCATTGATTTGGTTAAATACAATCATATTAAATTTGGATAATTTACTTTTAATTTAAATGATCTAAATTTAATGATGATGAGCATCCAAACTGAATCCACACTACATACAGTCTAGCCATAGCTTTGACTGAGCAACTTCATTTTTCAAGGGTAGCATATAGTTATATCAAGTATGCTCTGTATTTCTAATTTTCCGTACAGAAAATGTCGTTGTAGTTTATTTATGTTGCGCCGCTAATCGCGGCGTTAATCAATAACTTTGCTAATACGTACAGCGAAAGCCAATGAATGCAACATGTCACTCTTCCCATAGATTACAACTGTACACAAATTAAGTCAAAGTCAACTCCAATTGTTTTTCTTAAAAGAAAATTAAAAAAATTTTAGATGAATTGAAATATACTAGAAACATTACGATAAGCGAGAACTTTAGAGATATTATATATTATTCACTAATATATTGACAAAATGTAAACTTGCAAATATTTTGAAACATATAAGTTACATATATAAATATATGAAAAAAATATACATTTAATTCTTTAACTTTATCTAAAAATTCAACTTAATCACTTAATTTTATAAGATATATTTTCCATCATTTAACCTTAATACTCTTAATTTTAAATGATTATTTTTTGAGTTAATAATTGTCATTTAAAAAATTAAATTTAATATGTAAGCATTTGAGAATGTTTTCTTAATATTTAAAAATTTAATGAAAAAAATTATAATAGAGCTAGTTATAATAGAACTAATAGTGTTAGGATTAAAAAATTTAAAATACAATTTATAAAATTAAGAGACTAAAATAAAATTTTAGGTAAAATTAAAGGCCTAAAAGTAGGGAGAATTTCAATAAAGATCCCTTTGGTCACACTTATTTAAATTTAAAGCCCGTAACTTAAGAGACCAAAATGAAATTAAAGGACTTAAAATACACTTTATAAAATTAAGTGGTCAAAATGAAATTTTATGAAATATTAAAGCACTAAAAGTAGAGAGATTTTCAATAATAAAGACCCTTTGGTCACACTTATTTAAATTCAAAGTTTCTAAATTTTTAAAATTGTGCTATAATCCAAGGATATTAATTTGATATTAAATTTATAAGAGAAATAATAAAATTGCCCCTCATTTAAATTAATATTAGAACTTCTCTACTTTACTTATTTATTATCTTACTTCACTTGTTAATTTAGCCACGGAATGTTGTTAATTTCCCTACTTAACTTATTTTTATTTTAGATGTCTAAATCATTTTAAGATAACTTATTAATTCCTATGCTATATTGTTCATTTACTTATGGACTATTGTTTATTTCCCTGCTTCAGTTGTTTATTGCTAGACTTTTATTTAATTTCATTCCAGAAAAATAAACAAATAAAGTAAGATAATTAACAACATTCTGTAAGTAAATTGAATCAACTAAAACACTTGCATACAATACACCCATCATACTAATGATAACAGGCCTAGGTCAAATGAAACAAACTTAATTTTTCTTAAGATTGATAGTTCAAATCTTGGGGATGAGAAAATAAATAATGTTTGGAGAGTTATCTCCAATATTAATTTTTACAATATTCAAATTTGACTTGATAACAGAATTCAATGGGTTATGAGCAACAAGAAACTATATAGAGTTCATGATGTGCCATGTGCAACTTTGCAAGGCCAGCCTTGCACTATTAAAATAGTGAACAAATTCAACATCTATTAAAAAATATGAAGGGAAAATGATTATTGGGTGCAAAAGGATTAATTAATAATAGTTAGTTTTCTCGACAAAATTAAATTTTGTACAAAAAATAAATTATAAATAACAATTCAAATAATTACAAACAAAAATTTCTTATTATAATCTAAGAACTATATTTTATACTTAAATACTTATTTAAAGTATCTTGTTCGACATTTTAAACTTAAAAAAAAATTATTAGGAACCCACCTATCATTAATTTAAGGTTTTGGGGCCTAATTTTCATTTTCTCAAAAACAAAGCCAAAGTCAACCGAAGGAGCTTTCTCAATGGCCTATATATACACAACATACATAAATTCTCCAATTAAATCCATCTTCACAAATAAATAAATATATATATATATATATATATATCATATCTGGCTACATCTTCACCTTCGATCAACTGATTCAAAATGTATGACGCTGATGCGAAAGCTCATCCTCATCATGGACAATGGACCACAGGTTTATGTGGATGCTTCGAAGATCCTGGAAATTGTAAAGCCCTCTCTCTTTCCCTCTCCCTCTCCCTCTCTCCCCCAAATTAACTCACTGTCAAATTCATGTTAATTCTAGCGTGTGTTGTTGATTGTTTTTCATTCTGTTGAAGGTTGCATAAGCTGTTGCTGTCCATGCATTACCTTTGGTCAAAGTGCTGAAGTCATAGACAGAGGAAATACATGTGAGTGATCAGAAATTATAACCTTAATTATTACAACTACTGTGTTAATGTTATATATAGACGTTGATCATATTACTCTTATTATTATCGTGTATATCTGCAGCTTGTGCGTGTGCGGGTTTAGTGTTCTATGCTCTGTCGTACGTGGGATGTGTGTGCTTGTATTCATTCACGTATAGAAGCAAACTGAGAGGCCTTTTTAACTTACCCGAAGAGCCATGCAATGATTGCTGCATTCACTTCTGGTGCACTTCTTGTGCTATTTGCCAAGAATATAGAGAGCTCAGAAACCGTGGAATCGACCCCTCCTTAGGTATATGTATCAAGATTAATGTAATTTTTAGTACTTTTACATTTGGGAGATTAGAGATATTGATTTCGTCTTTTAAATTTAATTTTTATCACTTCGATTCTTAATATTTACTTAGTCTTTCAAGTTTTACATGACAACAAATTAGTTCTGAAAAAAGCTGAAGTATAAATTAAGTTGTTGATATGAAATAAACATGCAGACCAAATAATACATATAAGCCAAATCTCCTAGTCCTAATTATTGATAGTAATTAATGATATATAGTAATTCAGTCCCTCACAAAATTTTCCAACAAATACGTTATAAATATTGATATAAACAATAATTTCATATTTGTGTCTTATTTTTTTTTTTAAGAATTTCATCATGGACCTAACTATTATTCGTTTTTCTTTTTGGGACTTAACAGTTATTCTTCTTAAAATTAAATTGACGTGGTTCTGTGAGATAAGTGGCATGATTTATACTATAAGAATATTATGATTTTGTACATAATTGATTGGAGCAATATGAGCAATAGTGTGTGCGTGCATTCCGTCTTTCTTTTTAAATTTTTAAAATAAATAAATCTCTTGTCTTCAAATTCTGACCCGCTATATTTATAAATCGGAGATATGGTAAAAAATAAAGAAAAGAAGAGATGAGTGTAAAGATCATGAAGGTGAGCTTATGTATATAAACACTCATATTAATATTATTTTAATTTGTATTGTGACACTCCATCCTAATACATGTATATAAATTATTCATTTACTCCGAATGTAGTTAAATATTCTCTATGAACAGTTCATTATGTCAAAAAGCTCTCTTTTATTTCTTATCTCTGTATATTTTCACAAGTTCTAATCCCTGTAAGCGACACACAAAAACACAGGTTGGACTGGGAATGAAGAAAGAATGAACAGAGCCACTCAAGTGCCTCCAAAAGTAGCACCAGGCATGGCTCGCTAGAAATTTCTCCCTCAACTTTCTTGGCTCTTCTTCTCAATGTTCGATTCTGTTCTATATAAGTTCTGTAATTCCTTGAGTTTGTTTAATTTCTTCTGTGTGAAGTGATGATTGATTACGTTATTGGATTTGTATTAATGTGTTATTCGTATTAATTAACATGAATAAAATATATACCCTCCGTCCCAAATTATAAGACACTTTTAGAAAAGATTCAATGTCCCAAAATATAGGACACTTTAATAAAAATAAGGTTTCATTAATGATGGTTTTTTAATATTACTCTTCTCATATATTCTTTTTTCAATATTCTTTTATCAATGAAGTATTAAATGAAGAGTATTTTTGAAAGTTTATTCTTTTATCTTAAAAAAATAAGGTTATAAAGTGTATTCAATGAATTTTATTAGTATGTGAGATTTTATCTAAAAGTACCTTATAATTTAGGATGAAGGAAGTATCATGCTTGTACGGCAAGATGGAGAAAATGTCAAGTCATTTTAGAGTATATTTAATTTATTCTACTTATTTTAATAATCACTATGACATGCGTGTTGCTTGTCTAAACACATATCAATACAATAAAACTACCTTGTGAGATCTATTAATCTTATAATCTTTAAAACTTGTTTAGCTTTTATAAGGCATATTTTTCTGAGATAATATGCTCAAAAATATAAAGGATATTTGGGTATTTCAATATGCAATTAATAATATTTTAAAAAAATATACTTAATTAAGAGCTGTAACTCATAAATTTTTTTAATTAAGACATGACTTATTAAATTAAGGTATACATAAAGAGTATATAATTTAAAAAAATTAAATTTTTTTGCCAGAACAAATTAATTTATTAATTGAAGATATAATTAAATTAAAAATTTCTTACAATTTTAAGTAAAGTGAGTAATGGTTATCTAATAAGTTTCTGAACATTGTGGAGTAAAATGCAAATATATGCACACCCACGCACACTAGTACTCTATTTTCTTTTTTCGCACAAACACACGCTAGTTCTCTGTACGGGTCCGTCTTCGGCACCAAGGTGGTCATCAGGCACAGAAATTTTGGGCCATCTAAATTCAGACTTTTAAAATTTTAATTTTAATTTTATATTTATTAAAATAAAAATTTATAATTTTTTAATAAATATGATCATCATCGATTTAGATAGTACTTATCTAATTTAAGTGATGCAATTTAATATTATAATTTTTATAAAGTGATTATCTACATGTACTTTGAACAGCTCAGATTTAATATTAAATTTTTATTTGCAATGTCTAGATTTAAAATGTTTATTTTTTATTTTGATGAATACAATATTAAAAAATAAAATATATAATCCTTTAACTAAAAATTTTTTAAAAATATTTTTAAAAAAATTACAAGTTAAAAATTTTATATATGAACTATGCAGAATACCTATGAATAATTAATATATAAAAAATATAAAAATTTTAATATTAAATTAGATTCTTCAAATTAAATATAGAGCAAATTATTCATTAAAATATTTATTAAAAATTTTTTATAATTTTTATACATTTTAATTTTGAAAAGTATAAAATAAATATTAAATTAATTCTTTAAATTTTGACCATCCAGATTTTGATTCAGATTGTATCATCTTGATGAGCACTGAAGATAGATCCATACTCTATTCATCCAATCCTATATGTAACTCATTTTTTAGGGAAAAAAATTAACGTAAATTTTTATGAGTCACTTTACATAAAAAGAAGAAGCATTAGATGTTTTCTTTCAAATTTTATTCTTTCACAAATTTTTATGAATAGATTAAGGTTCTATACCAAAGAGAAAATATTTTAAATATAACACATTTAAAAAAGGATAAACTAGAAAAAAATTATTTTCTAGAAAATATCAATAATTTAATTACTTTTTTATAGTTTTGTCATGGTAGTTACATGTGATTTATATATAGAAGCTGAAGAAGTATGTACAAGGGAAGGACCAACTGTAATTAGGAAGAGGCTGTTTTTTTGAAAACATATATTATCAACTTTAATTTTTTAATATTTATTATATTATATATATTACTCTAGTCCTTTGCTTTTTGTTTCCCAATGTATCACTATAGATGACAGTGTTGAGACTAATCCTTTGAGAAATATAAGTGCTAATTAAGAAGCTGTCATCTTCCAAGCAATAATGTTCTCTATATACACCTCTAGGAATCAAACTCTACAATGGTGTTTAATTGGCTCAGACTACTGCTATATGTGCCACACTCACTTAATTTCCTTTGGTCTTATTTATAAGATAAAGATAAAATAATTTTTTTTGGCTTTATTTGTAAGTTGAGAAATTCTTACATAGACTTGATGTACCATCATTCATGCTCCATCCAAAAGTAAATAAATGATATTCAAATGGCATTAAATATAAATTAATATTTTTGTTTGCATATTATTGGTCCTGATTTGTCATATTTCTAATTTTACTCCTAACACTGCAACATACAGAGCGTATTAAAATTGAGTAGTATAATATTTTAAAAGAAGATCGTTAGTTGACTAAAAAAATTATAGCAAATGACCTAAAAATTTAAATAACTTAACTAATATTAAAAATATAAATAGTTTCTTTTACGCACAAAAGGCACAACCATTTAAGTATTGTTTTGAAGAGAAGATCGATTTGTATATAAAAAATAAGAAATCAACTATAAATTTATAAAATCCTAGCTTGGATTGTTAATATTTAAAAAGTAATTTATAAATTTTTAATGAATATTTATAAATAATAATATGTAAATTATTAAATATGAAAATATTTAATATTTTATCAATACTTATTAAATTTTATTTTAATAAGACTTCAAGGTACCTAAAATTGCTAAAAAACGACCTTAAGGTGTCCAACACTTCTAAAAAAAAGTTCAATAGTAAATTAGCACTAAAAGATATTGTCATAGTCTTATTTGTCATTGTGCATAGACCCCATATACATCCACATTAGCAAAAAAAGAAAAACTTAATGGCCTCCTAATAAAAGGGTGTTTTTGAACCTCAACCAAAAAAAAAATATTTCAGGGGCAAAAATTGCCCTGCTTAAGATCATAGGATGTCCAGCGCTCCTGAAAAATAAATATAAGAGCAAAATTACCCTATTTAAGATTATAAAATACCCAATGCTCCTGAAAAATAAATACAAGGATAAAATTAAACCTTAACCCATTATTTTTATAAAAAATAAAGCAATTGAATAAGATGTCTTTATATACTTTATGAATAGTATGATTTTCTATAAGTTATATTCTTTCCTTTTAGAATTATAAGGGCTTTTAAATGAATTATACTCCCAATAAGTTAGATAATTTACTTTAAAATTACACATTCTTTTCATATTTATTCTTATTAAATAAGGTGTCTTAATTAAAAAACTTTATTAATTACACCTCAAATTAATGATATTTTTTGAAAAAAAATTATTAATTACACTTTAAAAGATTCAAAAGGCCTTATATTTTTTATGATATTTTCAAAAAAAATTCTTATAATATTAAATGGAGCGAGTAATTGATAGGAGCAATATGTGCAATAGAATTTTGCATTCCATTTTTTCTTTTTAAATTGTTAAAATAAATAATTTCTCTCTTGTCTTGATTTTTTTCCTTTTTTTTTCCTTTCTGATAACATGTCTTGAAAACTTTCTAATTCCTCTATATTTATAAAGAAAAGATATGGTGAAAAAAAGAAAAATAGAAGGAAAAAAACAGATTAGTGTAAAGATGAACGTGAGGTTATATAAACAAACTTATATTATTTTAATTTGTAACACTCACTTTTATTTCATGAATTTATGGATACACACACACACACACACACAAGTATGTAAATAATTCATTTACTCCGGACATAGTGAAATATTATATGAACAGTTCATTATATGTTCTTTCTAGCAAGTCATGCCCCGTGCTATACGTTTGGTGCCTTTTGTGGAATTCATAGTTGGAAAGTTATGAACTTTCCTGGAAAAATTAAAGGACTGAGAAGCTTGAAACGGTATTCTGCAACTTATGGTATTATTAGCTGATGTTGACTCATCAAAGCATATTTTGGTGAATGCAATTCCATAGAAAATGAAGTTTAACGAAATTGACAGCATCTCTTTCTTTGTGTATTGTTTGGGACGAAGACTTTACAAGTCTCATGGATGGGGCAATAATTTCTTCATCAATATGTCACGAACACTCTTTTTTATTTTTTCTTTAACCAATGAAAAGACTGGATGATTTGTAAGTATTAGAAGACTTGACTATGAACGATGTGATGTGTTAATAATAGATGTTTTTTGAGTATTGTTTGGGACGAAGACTCTACAAGCGTAGAGGACGTGGCAACGTCTTCATTAATTCGTCAACGCACATGTTCTTTTTCTCTATTCTACTTCTACTTTATATGCTAACGCTGTCATTTGGGAAATTTAATGGGTGTATATGTACCTTACCATTGATTTAAGAATATTATAAGTTCATAAAAAAATTCTCAGTATTTTTGCATCTTATATTCGTTTCCTTTTATTGAAACGGTCAATATTAATTGAGTTTAGTCAAATTTAACAGGATGCAAAGCAAGTTCACGGATATTCCTATGTGTATGGAGTAAATGAATGTGAATTGTCTCCCCTGTAAAAGGGCATAATGTATTCAAAAAGAGAGAAGAAGAAAACATAAATGATAAAATTTGAGCCTCCGTCAAATTTTGTCTATAGGGAAATGACAATTATTGTCAAGGTATTAATGATAATTAAAGACTCGAATTATTGAAACGTCATAAAAGAAGTATAATTTTTATTTGAACTAAAAAATAAATAATTATTAAAATTAAATAAAGAAAAAATGATAATAAAATCTCATTGAGTTATGTAAATATCATTTTAATCCATCAAAAATGTTATAATTCTCTTAGTATTTAGAGACTTTTCTATCAGTAATAAATTAATATAAAAGACTAAATTATCCTTGATTGAAGTAAAAATACTAAGTCTCAAAACAAATACTTCGCACCCTTAATTTACAAGTTTTATTTTAAGGTCCACAATTTTTCTTCTTAAACTCACAACAATTTAATAACAATTCACAAGTTCATATTTAAAATCTTGATATTCCTCAAGTGGTACAAATATTAATTTCTATGCGCAAGTTTTATTCTAAAGTTTACAACTTTTCTTTTTAAATTTACAAGAATTCAGTAGCAATTCACAAGTTCACAAATATCTATTCTGAAGCTTGGAATTTTTATTTCAATTAAAGATAATTTGATCTTTTATATTAATTTTTTAATGACAGAAAAGTCCCTAGTGACTTTAGAAGAATAATGGCATTTCAGAGGACAAAAATGTCATTTAAATAATTCAAAGTGATTTTAATGTCATTTTTTTAAATAAATCATTACCAACATATTTCATTGGAACTACAAAAAAACTTAAAACTTCATTAGCTCTGTTTTAAAATGTAATATGTCTTTACCTCTACCCCTAATAAAAATAAAAATAATTATTTTTAATAATTTTTCATAACATTTAATAAGGGCAATAAAGTAAAGATAAATATAAAAAATTAGTGAAGCTCCTTATAAATAGAATCAAAATTAATCTTCTTTTTACCCTATAAATAGGATAAGAGAAATAAATGATTTACAATTGAGAAGATGAAGATGAGAACGAAGATCAAAATTAATTTTCTTTCTGACTTTATTTCGTGACTTGTGAACGAAGTGGCTAAGAATTTAGGGTTTGATTCAATATTTCATATGCTTTTTTATTTAGCTTTACCTTGTCTTTAAAATTGAAATAAAGAAATAATAGATCTTAAAAGGACGGGTCCTTTTAATTTTTCTTCATACTTGAATAAATTCCTTTCCTTCTAATATATTTCTTTTTCTTCATACTAATTAAATATATTGTGGTCCAAAAGTGTGAGCAGTGGTAATGGTTTCATTTAATTTTTGTTAGGTTAAGATAATGAATAAAGAATGAATGTCTACCAATGAAGTGATAATGGATTTTGATTGGAATGGCCTATAAATACACAATACAGAATGTCTCATATATTTACCTACTTCTTCACCTTCAATCAACTGATATTCAAAATGAATGTCGCTGGTCCTCCTCGTCATGGACAATGGACCACAGGTTTATGTGAATGCTTCGAAGATCCTGGAAACTGTAAAGCGCGCTCTCTCTCTCTCTCTCTCTCTCTCTCTATATGAACTTCAATACAGTCATTTCATTATAATTCAAGTGTGTCTTAACGTTGTTGATTGTTTTTCATTCTGCTGAAGGCTTGCTGACCAGCTGCTTTCCATGCGTTACCTTTGGTCTAAGTGCCGAAGTCATAGACAAAGGAAATACATGTGAGTGAGAAATTATAACCTTAATTATGATAATTTGTGTTACATACAAATGTTGATCATGATGTTAATTAATAAAATCCTTTATATTAAGCATGCTTGATGGCAGTTAACTTCACCAAAATAGTTTAAGCTAACTGATTAAACACTACTTTTAATATCCATCTTCTAACTTGTAAGCGTAGGAGATTTATTTGACTTCTTTATCGCTAATACATAATAATATTACTATCATTATATATGTATATTTGCAGCATGTCCCTGCGCGGGCTTCGTGTTCTGTTGCATGGCGTACATGGGATGCGTGTGCTTGTATTCGTGCACGTACAGAAGCAAACTGAGACGCCTTTTTGACTTACCAGAAGAGCCATGCAATGATTGCTGCGTTCACTATTGGTGTACCGTTTGTGCTATTTGCCAAGAATACAGAGAACTCAAAGCCCGTGGACTCAGCCCCTCCACGGGTATGTTTTATATATGTGTGTATATGAATATATGTACGTATGTATGCTCCTTTTTGTTCATAACAATTGATAACTAATTCACAGTTATATTAAAAAAAAAAGTTAGTTAGAATCTTAATTTTTTGAAAAAAATTATACTTCCTCCGTTTGTTAATACAAAGTAAAGTTAACCAACTTTATACTTATTAAAAAATGACAGTTAAATTTTTAAAATTGTTTTAAAATATGCAGTAAAAGAGCAAATTAAGTTCTAAACTATAGATTTAAAAGTGGCTGAGACGTTAAATTTTTTTTTATAATATTCTTCTTTAATTTTTGAAAATGATATAATCTGGTCTCTCCCATTAACAACAATTTACTTTGACTATTATTTGACTAAAAAGTGACAAAAAATAACATAAAAAATTACAGAAAAAAACTGAAAATCACATTAATAGACCAAAAAATTGTAGAAAATGACTACAAGAAGATTTTATTGATCATTTTTATTAATTTTTGAGGTTTTTTTATTTTATTTTTTGGTCAACTAACGTTCAAAATTTACTTTTATTAACTGTAAAGGCCAAATTACACTGTTTTTAAAAATTAAAGAGAAATATTTGCACAAAGAATGAGTTTAGATCCCTAGATTTATAATTTAAGGGGGTCAATTTGCTCTTTTTCCTAAAAATTTATATCTTTTCAATTTTATTCTTTTTTACAATTAATAATCATACTAAATTGTACTCTATATTAATAAAGGGATGATATGGTGAAAAAATAAAAATAGAGGAAAAAATATGAGTGTAAAGATGAACGCATGAGGTTGTATAAACACATTTTAGATAGCGCTTGGATTGATGGATTTAGATTTTAGATTTGAAATCTTGCATTTCAAATCCCTGTATATCTAATTTTTTTTGTTTAGATATTTTAAAAAATTTCAAATGAGAAAGAGAGAAGAATTGAAATTCCAAACAAAAATTTAAAATTTAAAATGTGAAGAAAAGATATGAGAGTCAAAGAAATATTAATAGTGAAAATCTGAAAAATGTTTAAAGTGATTAGAATTTCAAATGACTTGGATGTAAATTAAACTTGAAATTATAAAAGAATTATAATTTGAAATGGATTTGAATTTGAAATTATATTTTTTTAGATATAAAAGGAGGAATTTGGTCCAAATTAAATTCAAATCCCCATTAATCTAAACACACTATTATATTATTTTATTTTAATTTGTAACACTTACTTCTAAACTCATATGGATATACAATACACACACATGTATATCGATGTATGTATATACAATTTAAAATGATTCATTTACTCTGAATATTCTCGCCCTGAAACAGTTCATTATGTCCAAAAACCTCTTAGTTTTTCTTTCTTATCTGTGTGCGTGCGTGCGTGTGTGTGTGTGTGTTGACAAGTTCTAATCCCCGTAAGCGATGCACAAACACACAGGTTGGACTGAGAATGAAGAACAAATGAACAGAGCCACTCAAGTGCCTCCAAACGTGGCACCAGGCATGGCTCGCTAGAAATTTCTCACACAACTTCACACAACTTTCTTGGCAATTATACTTTCGTCTCCATCTGCGTTTGATTCCATTGTGTGTAATTCCTTTGGTCTGTTTCTTCCCTATGTGAAGTACGTTGTATTTGTATTAATATGCATATGCATATGAATAAATAAAATATAGGAAGAATGACAGTAAAGTTTCAAAATAGAGAATTAATAACAATTAGGTCCTGGAGACAATTTTCTAAAAAAATATTAAATATTAATTCAGATAGTTTCAGTTATAAATAAGACATTTAAAGTCTAAATATAACTCATAGTCTACAATATAATTGCAATTACTGTTTACAATTATCTGAATTAATATTTACAATTTATTTTTTAAAAAATTTTGTCGGGACCTAACTGTCATTAATTCCCTATTTTAGGACTTTATTGTCACTTTTCTTAAAATATACCATGATATGCATGATTGAGAAAATGTTGAATAGTTTTATATGATATTAAATTTCTTCTGCTTATATTATCAAAATAGGCAAATGAAAAAAAAATGTATCACGAAATGAGATAATTACTCTATGAAATACTTAGGGGCTTGTATAAGTTTTTTTGTGAAATTCAAAATAATAGAAAGTGAAATTGTTAAAACCGAAAATAAAACTATTAATAACAAATGTAAAGTTGTTATTTGTTGATATAAGAAGCTTGGTTGTTAGTTTAATCATACAATAACCAGCGTGTTTCCTATTTTAATAACTTCGGCTTAGTTATTAATAACTTCAACTTATAAGTATAAACAGTACATCTAGCCATAATTTTAATTTCGTTATGCATTAACAATAACGCTTGCTCTATATATGTATATATATTTACAACTTTAAGTTCATTGTTAATTACTTTAGTTTATATTTTAACAACTATATATTTCTGTTATTCCGTAGAGGATCGAAGATGTTATTTGGTAAAAATATTTATGATATGTAAGTCCTTGAAAATTTCAGAGTAATTACCTCATTTTGAAGTATTTTTTGTCATTTGTTAAGATTTATTTATCATTTTTCCCAAGTAATTAATCACCATATAACATGAGTATTATTCGTCTAATAAACACGTATCAATACAAGTAACTTGTTATCGGTGAATCTTATAATCAAAGTTGTTTTATTTTTATTGAGTTTTCAAAGTGTGCATATATAGTAGTTATTTAATGAGTTTCCAATTATAGCAGTACACGCTCAACAAATGCCATTGCAACTTTGTCATGCGAGGTCCCAGATTAATTTACATTTTGGAGCAAACAACAAGATACACAAAGTAATTTTAAATCATTAATTACTTTCTTTCAATTTTATCATTTTGCAATTCTGAATGAATAAATTAAAAAGTCATGTGTGGGAGAAAATATTCTTGAATATAATGCATTTATCAGTTGTAAATTGGAAATTTTTTTTAATTAAGTCTGTATCAATAATTTAATTACCTCTCTTTAATTTTGATAAGATAGTTAAAATTGACTTTTATATAGGAGTGGAAGAAGTATAAAAATATATAAGCATTCCATCCGATCATATTTATAAGGTAAAGAGAGAATGAATTTTTTTCCATATATATTAATTAGTCATGACATTAAATTTTTATTAGAAGTTTCTCCTTTTATCCTTTATTAAATCTTGGTTAGAGAAAATATATTATTAAAATATGCCTAATTATTTTAAAAGGGGCAAAGTAAAAAACCTTTTAAATTTCTAGACAAAGTTAATTTCTAAAATTTTATTTTTCAAACATTTGCCTGATTATTTTAAAAGGGGAAGAGTTAAATATTTATTAGAAATTTTTGTTGTGATTTTTTTTAAAGCAAAGAAAATAGAAAATTACATTACAATAAAAAGATTACATTATACAAGGCATAAAGTCCATGGAAAAAACTAAATATTGAAAAGAAAATATCAACACGAACAAGTCTATGTAGTGAGAAAGTATATGTTCTTGGAAACAATGTGAGTAGAACCTAAATGAACCTACGCAAGGCAAACTGTGATGTGAATTGAAGGAAGTAACCTAATTCCATTGACATGTGTTTTTTTTTTTTTTTTGAAAATAATTATGATCATGGGTTGAATCAGTTGATGTGGATCTACAATGGATGAATTTACACTGAAAGAACATAACTTTAAATTCATGTACTTTACTCAAGTTTTATTATAGGTCTTTATATTTTTATTGTTTAGTATTCTAATTTCCTCCATGAGCAGTGTTATAGGGACCTAAAATACTAAAAATAAAAGTGTAAAGATCTAAAATATCTCTCAAAAAAAGTACAAAAAATTATAATAAAATTCAAATAAAGTGTAGAGACTTAAAATTATAATTTTTCATGTACACAAAAGTAAATTTATCAGAATGATAACAGAACAAATTGCATCAACAAGACCTTCCTGATGATGAAGTTTATTTAGAATGATAATAGAACAAATTGCATCAACAAGACCTTCCTCATGATGAAGTTTATTTAGAATGATTGGCAATCATTCCACAATACTCATTAGAGCTAAAAGTTGAAGTATGAAGTGATGAAAGGCATACAAACCATAGAGTGAACGGAAGAAAGGGCATTGAGCAAAAATGTTCAGCTTTATCGATATCACAACCAAAAGGACAGTGAGTTCTGTTTAGTGAATGATGTTTTTGCAGAACATCTCCCAAGGGCATCCTTTCACTTTGAGAAAATTATTAAAAATGTATTTAAATTTTGTGACTTTGCAAACTCTTGAAATTTCTATTGATAATTGCTTTGTTTCTTATAATGTTGATAGGTGCAACTTGCAAATAATCTCTGGTTGTGGTTGGTTTTGGTTACTAAATGAAAACGTGTCAATACTATGATATGGGGAGGGACACACATCATCCAATTGCGACCCAACTTGGTGCACACATAGCTAACTGAAGGAGCAAGACAGGGACACGTATGATTATATGTATGACGAAAATCTCGGTTAAGTCTTTGAAAAAAAAAAATAATGACAATTAGGTTTTAAATAAAATTTTTTGAAAGATAACTTGAAAATATTCATTAAAACAGTTACAAATTTAAGAATTTTAATTATACATAAGATAGTTAAATTCTAGTACCCATGGAAAAAGAACTCAAAAGAAAATTAATACTTTTAACCCTACAATAAAAAGGCAGGTCAGATAGTAAATGGGGCTCACATGTAATTCACATGGGCAGATCATGGTGACATTGATGGTTCTATGATGGAAGGATAAAGTTGTTATAAAAAAATAATTTATAAAAAAAATTATCTCACTTATCAATACAAGGTACCTAATATTTAAAAAAAATTAAGAGAAAAATGATCTTTAACCCTTATAATTAACTTATATATGTAGAAAATATTAATCATTTGATCCTTGTAATTTTAACTTAATTATAACTCAATTCTTAAACTTTGACTTATTATAATTCAGTTCCTAAAATTTTAACTTCATTATAACTTACTCCCTAAATTTTGACTCTTACAATTCAATCGTTATATTTTTAATCATTTAAACATTTATTCATATATTTTAAAAAAATAAAATTATAAAAATCAAAATTATGTATTTCCTTCTTAATGGTAATAAAATAATCAGCACATATCTTTTTATTTTCTTTTATTTTGTTGGAATAGTTTATTTCCTACTGAATTTCCAAGTTTCTGGGCATTGAATAAAGGGTTATCTACATTTTAACGTTTTTGTCAAATAAAAATGGGAAGACCGACGATTGAAAAATGTTACTGTAGCAATCTTGATTGATGGACAATTTTTCATTTATCATTCTTCCCCTTGGATCTCTATAACTGATGCCTCGTTTTCCATTCTATAATTCCCGCGCTGTTTTTCCCTGTTGCATTGAGCTGAAAGATAACACTAATAGTTGTGATTATTTGCTTTGTAGTAGTGCAAAGAGCATGTCACAAGTATGGAACACTATCAACTATATTTTCTAGCTTGCTTTTTTTTTTTATTAAAAGGCCAAAATATTTTAAAAATTTTTCGTGTTCTCTCTCTTCTACCCACACCTCAGTTTCTTTTTCCTTTTTCTTTTTTTCTTTTTTTTTTGCCCCCTAGAAAAATACAAGACAGCTAGCTATAAGCTAGTAAGGATAAAAAGACAAACAAAGAAAACTAGGCAGCTTCAGTAGGATAGTTCTCATTACAGTCATTCAGCATTAACGGTATACACACTTCAGGAGGCTCATGTAAGAACCACACGGATCAGGGGTCTCTCCAATTTTTTCCCTCCTTTTTCCTCCACTTCCCCCATCCTCACCATTCATTAATTTTATCATTTAAAAAAATTATTTAATAAAAAAATTTGAATGGTGAGGATGGGGGAAGTGGAGGAAAATGGAGAGAAAAGAAGAGGAGAGACCCCACTTCCGAGTTCACACAGCCCTGGAGGAGTACTGTGCCAATTTAGCTAAAGCATCAGCACACATATTTGCTTCACGCCGGACATAGGATACTGTGACGCCCAAATGTTCACAGATGGCATTTTGTACTTCTTCTGATATCTCCTCAAAAAAAGGATGGTCCATAGATACCCCTCTAGAGATAAAATTTTTAGCCTCTAATGATTCAGAAACAATGCATGCTTTACTAGTTGCAATATTCTTGCAAAGTGCCACACCACCTCCAATAGCTTTAACTTTCTGCCACTGTAACAAGTAAGTTCCCCATGTTATACGTGAATCCTTGAAGCCAATCACCTCTTGAGTTTCTAGCTAGTCCCCCACACGCTGCATTATTTTGCATACTCCTTGAAGCATCCATATGTATCCAGGTTTCACTTTGTAGCGGGATAATCCGATTCTGAACAAAAATAGCATCCCTGTCTTGGCAGTGAATATTAACATTACCTATATCACGTTCTTCCATCAATGTCCTTCTGCAAGCTTGGATGATATTGTCAGTGTTATATCTAGTGCCCTCAAAAATTTCCTTACACCTCATTGTTCATAACAGCCAGCATAAATGCCCAAACCCTTTGATCAGCCAATTCTTGAAAAGATTTCCTCCACTTAGATGAGGCGTTCCATTTGATCCACACCTGTTTGTTACAAGAGAAGAAAATGTCATGAAAAGGAGGGCTAAGAAGTCTCTCCCAAAGCTGTTTGGCTCTCACACAGTCTCTTAAAATGTGTATAACACTTTCCTCACTCCCACACTCAAACGGACAATTTGCATTTTGTGTTTGTCCTCGCTCTGCTCTTAGGAGGTTACTAGGCAGTCTCTCATGTAGGACCTTCCAAAGAAAAACTTTCAATTTTTCCAATAAAGGCCATTTTCATAAACATTTCCACACTTGACTAGGGCCTTCTGATGCTGTACCTTCAAGGAATTAGTAAGCACACCGGACATAGAATCTACCATCCCAACTATTCACCACTAGAAACGATCATTCTAGCCATTAAGGTCAAGCTTGACAATCATGATTTTCTCTACAATGTCATTAGAAAAATAATTTTTCAGCAGTTGCCAATTCTATTGTCTAGATGGATGAAGGAAGTCATAGACTTTGGTTTGAGGATTAAAAGGGTGATGAAAATTGGAAACATAGCCAATCAAGGGCTGTTCTAAAGGAGCCCAATGATCCCATCAAAAAATTTTCGTGGCTCCATTTCCTATTTTCTTACTAACTTCCTACGCGAATTTTTCCCATAAGGCAAAGATGCTATTCCAAATATGAGAAGCATTTCCCTTCTTGGTCACCGTTGGTATGACTACCGTCCTCACTTGTATTTAGCTTTAAGGCATTGAACCCAGAGTGAGTTCTTATTGCAAAGGAGGCCCCAATAAAGTTTCATAAGGAAAGCTTTATTTTGAATATGAAGATCTTTAATACCAAGCCCCCCAACATTCTTGTTGCCTTTAATAGTCTCCCAAGCTATCATATGCATTTTCTTTTGATCTTGTTTATCAGTCCAAAGAAAACCCCTACTTATCTTTTCAAATTCCTTCAGAACACCTTTAGGTATGAGCATTGTCTGTATGAAGTAAGAAGGAAGGGTTGAGATAATAGACTCAATCAAGACCGTCCTACCTGCCATATTCAAGAAGTTAGTCATCCAAGAGAATAGCCATTGTTGAGCCTTCTAGTTGAGGATAAAGAACATATTCTTACTCATCCTTTTGTGAATAAGTGGTATTCCCAAGTATTTTCCCAAATCTCGGGTGAACCCTACACCAAGACTTTAACTTATTTCAATAGCCTGTTGGAATCAGATATTCTCTGAACAGAAGAGTCTAGTTTCGACAAGGTTCATCCTGTGTCCATAAGCCTTATAGAAGGTTTCCATAACTCTCTTAATCAAAGAAGCTTGTTTCAAGAGGCTTCAGAGAATAAGATAAGATCATTAGCAAAGAAAAGATGTGATATGGCAAGACTTGTAACAACAAATTTGAGGGGTTTTCATTTTTTGCTCTCACAAAACTAGTGAATAATCATTTCTAGCATTTCCATACATAGAACAAAGATATAAGGGCTCCAAGGGTCACCTTGGCAGACCCCTCTAGAAGGCCTAAACTCTTGAGAATCTCACTACTAGAAAAATACAAATTAGTGAGGGAATTTAGCGATTGATTGTCTATTCCTCTCTAAAATGTTTAATTGGCGAGGAAATTAGCAAGGAAATATTTATTTCATACCTTGCCTAAAAATTAGCAACAAAAAACAGCGAGAGATTGTCAATTCTTCTCTAAAATAAGATAATTAGCGAGAAAATTAGTAAGGCATTTTTATACCTCTCTAAAATGAGAGATTAGCGAGGGATTTGCATTCCTCTAAAAATAAGATAATTAACGAGAAAATTAGCGAAGAATTTTTATACCTCTTTAAAATGAGAGATTAGCGAGAGATGTTGGGGGGATTTTGCATTCCTCTCTAAAAATAAAATAATTAACGAGGACATTAGCGAGGCATTTTTATACCTCTCTAAAATGAGAGATTAGTGAGGGATTTAGCCAGGAATTTTGCATTCCTCTCTAAAAATAAAATAATTAGCGAGAAAATTAGCGAGGTATTTTTATACCTCTCTAAAATAAGAGATTAGCGAGGGATTTAGCAAGGGATATTGTATTACTCTAAAATAAGATAATTACCTAAGAAATTAACTAGCCATTTTTATGCCTCTCTAAAATGAGAGATTAGCAAGGGATTTAGTGAGAAATTTTGTATTCCTATCTAAAATAAGATAATTAGTGAGGAATTTTGTGAGGCATTTTTATACCTCTCTAAAATGAGAGATTAGTGAGAGATTTTATATTTCTCTCTAAAAGAAGATAATTAGTGTAGGATTTAGTTAGGGATTTTGTATTCCTTTCAAAAATAAAATAATTAGCAAAGTATTTTTATATCTTTATAAATATATAATTAGCCAGGAAATTAACAAGAAATATTTATACCTTTCTAAAAATATATAATTAGCTAGAAAAATATGGAAAGATATTTTTTTATACTTCTCTAAAAATAATTATATTAGCAAGAAAATTAGCAAGGTGTTTTTATGCCTATCTAGATTGACTGATTGAGATAATTAGTAAGATATTTTTATGATTTTTCACTCCTCTTTATAAAAAATTATATTTTTTAATACTTCCATAATTTTCTCAATATAAAATTTTATTTTTTTCTTAATTTTTTGGGAGTAAAATTCAAGTTGAGCACCACTGCTAACATGCATTCCCTCTATTTTTTTCGGCAGTCGAAATATGGATTCATAGCTTTCACCGGTCAGAGCTCTAAATTTTCCAAACCCTCGACACTTTCTCACTGGCTCTTTGTTCTTTTATCTCTTGTGGTTTCTTCTATTCAGTCGCTCCTTGGCAAGATTCCTCTTGCGGTGACAGTGCTCCTCAGTTCCTCCTCCTACGATGACATCCCCAGATCAGTATGCTTTCTTGTAACCCCTCTCTCTTTTTCTCTCCTTTGTTTCCAACCTCTATCATCAAAACCTAGTCATATGTTCCTCTGATTTTTCCCTTGAATCATGTTCGTTCCCCTCTTTTCTGCTTCGGTTTCCCTTTATGCTTGAGTAATTTATTTGTGAAGAGACAGACTTAGATGGAGTGGAATGATTTGTGGCTGTTCTATCTCTGGTTTTGATTTTGCTTATCGATAATTGATTTTTCCTACCATTAATTGAACTGGGAACCTTTCAAAAAAGGCAATAATGTGACATGAGTTTGGTTGATAGCGCATGGCTGGCATTAGACTATTCTGAGAATATATGGTCACTAGGAGATGCAATATCACGCTTTTTGCCTAACCAACAATACCCAAAAAAAAGAAAGAAAGAAACAAAAAGAACCCTCTGAAAAATAGAATTAAAAGGAAGTTATTTTAGTTGGTTGCTGAAATTTGTGTATGCATGATGGAAATAAGATACTTTTGTTTGTTTTTCTCACTCTTTTTTCTTTGTTTGCCTGATTGATTTCAAATTTGACCATGATTGGAAGAAGATTGAAGCATTTGTTGGTTCAAAAACTGTAATCCAAGTAATTATCCTAGAAGGGAAAGGGAAACAAAGAATATCATATCATTAGACATTGGGTGCTTTTGATTTCATTTGATATAGTGAAAAAATCTGATAAATCGATTCTTGAATTTTTTACTTCAGTTGTATGGTAGAGTGTCATTGCTTTGATTTCAAGATTGGAGATAAGCATTAAAATTGAAAAATTGCTGATTGTATTATATCTGTAAAAATAGTATGGTCTTTTATGATTGAGGTGAATGCAGCAATTTATCTGTTCTTTTTATGTAGAATTTTTTTGTGGAAATTATATGATTTATTAGATTATTTGAAAGCTCTATAATTAATTATAATTTGAACCGTCTATGATATAGGTGATTTTGAATTGAATTATATTTATTGAGGCACTTGGGGTTGAGCTAAAGGAGGTAAGCTCAATGACACATGATTCCATCTTCTCTTTAAATAAGTTGGGGTCAATTTTTACGTTTTATTCCCTCATGATACACAGATTTTTTTTTTTGAGAATTCAATCTTCAGATATTAACTAGCAAGTTTGGAATGATTAATATCATCCTCCAGATTTATGGGGAGATCATTAATATAGTAGTTATCGTAATTACTGAATTTTAAAATTCACATTTGATTCATTCCTTTTATATGTGTGTTCCATTTAGTATCAATAAAGATTGACCTTTTGTCAGTAAGCACATATAAAACCTCTAACCAAAAATTTCCTAGCTGCTGAGAATGAAAGTTACAAGAATATCTTGCCCAACACATGAATATGATTCCCACTGAGTAGCAACCCAAAAAATTGCAAATGCCAAATAGACTAACATTACTGCAAGTGAGAAAATAGAAACCTCCTCAACCTTAAGAATATTCATAGTCTTCCTCCCACGTTTTGGATATATTCAGTACATAAAACAAACAATATGGTTGAGAAATATAAGATATCAAAACTAAAATGTTTTAGTTTAACGTAAATTTAAAACAACCCAAGATTAGTTAGATGTTGATTCAAAACTAAAATTAAAAAATAGCATCATTTGACATATATCCCTAGCTTCTTCTTCTTCTTCTAGTTTTTTCCCCAGTATAACTGCTAGCTTACATTAATCAATGGAAAACATACACAAGATGGCAATACATGTCCCTCCTGAGCAGTGGGCAAATTGGAATTCTAGACTGTAACATAATAAAATACAAAACTTTAAGATCTTGGATCAACTTCTTCAAAGAGTTAATATACAAGGCTCACTAAATTAATGCTTCTAATAAACAATTATTTATTTCGCATGCTTGGCTGGCTCCCGTAAGTTCTGTAAATTCTTGTTTTTTAGTGCATACTTATATAATAGCATTTTGAGTTTGTTATAACTTGAATACTTTTCAACTTCATCCAGTTGCAACTTACTCTTGTTATGTTACTCAAGGTGTAAAAGTTCATTATCATATTATTAATATGTCTTGTCTTTTCCCAATTGTGACTTCTTTAAGCAATCTTTTATAAATTGATACTTGTCTTTTCATATGAATTACAAATATATTGTAATGTTAGCAATAACTTTTCATATGTAAGATGAGCCACATCCTATATAATCTTGTCATTATATTTTTTTGTATGTTTATATCTGTTCATACATAAAAATTAATTGGGTTGATTGGATCTAAGTGAAATGGTTAGAGCACATTCTCTAAGCACTCTTTTTATTTCTTTTATAATGTAGAAAGCATGAGGGGTGATAGAATTTGGATGTATAATAGAAAGGATTAAAGTAGAAAAGGGGTAACAAAAGAATTTGTCAATGGTGTAGATAGTTTCTTAGAATTTGCAATATGTCAAGATAACTTTGTTTCTGATGGCAAGATAAGATGTCCTTGCTCGAGGTGTTATAATCGACACTTTCTTGAAATAGATATTGTCAGAACTCACCTTTATAAACATGGTTTTGTGCCTGAGTACTATCAATGGGTCTCCCATGAAGAATCTTACATAGCTATGGATAGGGCAAAATGTAATATCAATTGTACTTCTCAATTGAGCGAGGAAAGTGTGCCCATTATAAATCCTTATCGTAGGATGGTTTTAGAAGCTGCTGGTCTTAGTTTTAGTCCAAATGTATTTAATGGGGATGGGATTTTTGTTGGAGATGAAATGCTCAGAGATGAGGAAGAGCTTCTTAATTGTGAGGCTAAGAAGTTTTATGAAATGTTAAAAGGTGTAGAGGAGCCACTTTTTCATGGGTATAAGACTCATTCTACATTATCCGTGGTAATAATATTGTTGAATATCAAATCTAAATTTAACTTGAGCGAAAGTTATTTTAATCGCATATTGCAACTAATCAAAGAACTTTTACCTAGAGATGCAAAGTTGCCTAATGACTTGTATAAGACAAAACAGATGGTTAGTAAGCTTGGACTAGGGTATGAGAAGATACATGTGTGTGTCAACAGTTGTATTCTTTATTACAAGGAACACAAAAACAAGATCACTTGTCCTAATGTGGTTATCCTTGTTATAAACCTAGGAAGAAAGGTGATAAACAGAAGCATAATATACCTTATAAGGTTTTGCGATACATGCTTCCCACCCCTAAACTATAAAGGTTATATATGTCATCAAAAACATCTGAACACATGACATGGCATACAACAACTCATCGAGAGCAAGGGGTGATGAGCCATCCATGTGATGGGGAAGTATGGAAGCATTTTAATCAATATCATCCTTCTTTTGCTGCAGAACCTCACAATGTTCGATTAGCTATTGCATTTGATGGTTTTAGTCCTTATAGACAAATGTCTCATACTTATTCTTGTTGGCCAGTAATTGTCACACCATATAACCTTCCACCAGGAATGTGCATGAGTACCCCTTACATGTTCTTAACTCTCATCATTCTCGGTCCAAAGAGCCCTGGTCAAAATATAGACTTATACGTGCAACCTCTTATAGAAGAGTTGAAAACATTGTGGGAGGTTGGTGTAGAAACATATGATTCTTTTAGGCAACAAAACTTCCAATTACGAGCTACTGTTATATGGACTATAAATGACTTTTCTGCTTATGGCATGTTATCTGGATGGAGCACACATGGCGTTTTATCTTGCCCTATATGTATGGATCAAAGCAAAGCATTTTACTTGAAAGAAGGGAGAAAGCCATCTTTTTTTTATTGTCATCGTCAATTTTTACTAAGTGAACATCCTTTTCGAAAGGATAGGAAGTCATTTAAAAAAGGTAAAGTTGAGAAGTCATCTCCTCCAAGAAGATTATCAGGTGAAGAAGTTTTGGAAAAAGTGTGTCACTTTCCTTCTGTTATGGAAAAAATTGGGACAAACAAGCTTTTAGGTTTTGGGGATGAACACAATTGGACCAAATAGAGTATATTTTGGGAGTTGCCATATTGGCACACAAATCTTATAGACATAATCTTGATGTGACGCACATTGAAAAAAATATGTTTGACAACATATTCAACACTGTCATGGATGTCAATGGTAAAACAAAAGACAATGTAAATGCAAGAAAAGATCTTTCTTTGTATTGTAGTCATCCAAATTATGAGTTGAAAATAAATGTTGATGGTAAGATTAGCAAGCCTATAGCACCTTACACCTTAGGAAAGGAAAAGAAGAAGATGGTATGTGAATGGGTTACAAATTTAAGGCTTCCTGATGGATATGCATCAAATTTATCTAAATGTGTTGACATTCAAGCTCTTCAAATGTCAAAAATGAAAAGTCATGATTGTCATGTTTTCATGGAGAAGTTGCTACCAATTGCATTAAGGGACTTAATTCCAGAGGCAATTTGGAATGTCATAACTGAAGTTAGCATGTTTTTTAAAGATTTATGTTCAACTGTGTTGCAAGTAGAGCAAATGCAAAAGCTAATGGAGAATATTGTTGTCACACTTTGCAAATTGGAGAAAATATTTCCCCCAGGATTCTTTGATTCCATGGAACACTTACCAATTCATCTTCCATATGAAGCAATGGTTGGTGGTCCGGTACAATATTGATGGATGTATCCATTTGAGAGGTAAAATGTTCAAATTATTTATATGAAAAATATGGTGATATTATGTGTCAATCTATTATAAATGACTTGTATAATGCATTTATGTAGGGTTTTACATGACTTGAAAAAGATGGTAAAAAATAAAGCTCGTGTGGAAGGTTCAATTTGTGAAGCTTACTTGATGCAAGAAATTTCAAACTTCTATTCATATTATTTTCTTCCTCACATTGAAACCAAGCTAAGCAAAGTAGGTAGAAATGATGATGGTGGTGAGGTTACTGCACCAGATGGATGCCTTTCAATATTTACTCATCCAGGTCGGGCTAGTGGAAAGATGTGTAAAAGGTATTTAAGTGATGAGGAATTCAATACAGCTATAATATATGTGTTTTTAAATGGTGTTGAGATTGAGCCATTTTTGAAGTAAGAGTATCACATGAATTAAATATTATATTTAATTAAATATCTTGGTATATGAAATTGACACGCCTATGTGAAAAATGTAGAATTTTTGAAGATCAATTGGTGGTAGAAAATCCCAACATAACTGAGGAAGAGATTGAGAGGAAGACAAACAATGAGTTTGCAAAGTGGCTAAATACATATGTCAGTTTCAAAATATATCATTTAAAACATTATTATTTTTACTTCTTATATCACTAACTTTTATTTATGTCCCTTACTTTTAATAGGTATTTGATCAAAAAAATGGTGTACTTGATAGTAGAGTGAAGTACTTGGCTTTTGGTCCTTTTCGAGAAGTGCATACATGGCATCAATATAATGTCAATGGGTACAGATTTCATACAATGGCATATGGCTCAAATAAAACAATCATGAATAGTGGTGTTTGCATTAAAGGAAAGTGTTATGGTGATTTGGAGAATGACTATTATGGGTTGTTAAATGATATAATTGAATTAGAATATCATAACTCAAGTTTAAAAAGAACAACACTTGTGTTGTTTAAGTGTGATTGGTTTGACCCTATTATCAATGGGGGATGGAAGGTGTATAAGCAATTTGGTCTAGTTGATATTAATCACAAAAGGATGTTTATGAAGTATGAACCTTTCATATTAGCTGAACAATCTCAACAAGTATATTTTGCTGAATATGCTTGTAGGAAAAAGGAGAGAGCTGATTGGTGAGTTGAATATAAAGTAAAAGCTAGAAGTATGATTGACTCACCAGATTTGGTTTATCAAGAGGATGAAGTGTCTGAGCTGATTGAACCTGATGTAAATGATAGGCTTAATCATTTGAGTGTAGAAATTGAACATGAAGAGAAACTTGTGGATGTTCAAGATCTTAATTGCGAAATAATTGATGATCAACGGCATTTAAGTTGTGGAGACACAGAAGAATCTGAATTTGAGACTCAAGAGGAAGATAGTGAAGAGGAAAGTGATGAAAATATCTAATATAAGGAGGAAGATGAAGAATCAAACTAATAAAGTATATTTTCTAACATAATTTAGTATAAGCTTATTAGTATTAAATCTATTTGCCAATGTTTATTTATTGCATTAATTTATTTATTTTTTTCACATGGTAAAATTAACTTTTTAATTTGCTTATATGTTACTAATAGCTTATGAACTCTTTTCTATAGCAATGCCTAAAGGAAGAGGTCAAAGAGGAATATTAGAAGGTAGAGGATGCAAACATGCTGAAAGGAGTGAAGATAATTCTAGCACACCATGTAGCCAAGAGTATTCAGAAGAAGTTGTGAACACACATGCTGGAAGTGTTCGACCACACTTATGTGTTGTTGGGAAAGGGGATTCGTATGCTTATAAAAATTTCAATCCCTATTCTAGATTTATTTTCAAAAATGTAACTTAAAAGCATTTTATTTTGCAGGTTATCCCCACATGATGCAGTTCACGATATCACCAGAATATTTAAAAAATCATTCTCAAGTGCCTGGCTCACTTGGACTTCCATCCTATCTCATGTTAGAGACCAATGACTTGACGAACTAAATGTATGTTAATTCTTCATTTTTAATTGTCATGGATAAATCTGGAAAAACATGGATAACCTGATCCTTGGGACCATTTAGCTTTAATTGTCCTTTTCTGTTACACACACACATGGTGCATTCTTGTAGTATTATGTTGGCCTTTTTTTAAAACCCCCTTTTCTATATATGCACAGTTCCACTCTAATAAGTCAAGTTAGTCATGTTGCGTGTTTAACTTTAGTGTTTCATTTTATCCTAACTAATTTTGGATTATTTGTTCGAGTTCAAGTCTTACTTGGATCAAGAAATTGGTGTTTTAAAGTGACTAAAAATAGGACGTTGGCTTATGCTGACCATAAAATACTGGTTTTGTATTCAGCAGCCACAAGAAGTAAGAACAATATAGTTTGAAGTTTATGTTATTCCTCTTCTCCTTTTTATTATTCTCTTAGAATATACAAACATAAAGCTCCTTGTTTTCCACTTGAATACTGGGAGAAAAGTAAAGAAGGTAGAAACACTAGTTTACATATGCATAAAACCTCAACAATAAGTCACCATAGATTAGAACCACCAGAGGTGCATGTATAACTACACTTGATTGACGTCAAGACCTGGTAAAAAGGACCAAAAGGGTAAAAGTCATACTCTTTATCCACTGCATCCGCATTTGGAATTGGAAATGGTGGTTCAATTTCCCAATTTTTTGTGTACAGGGTACTGTCAGTAGTTGCCTTAGTGATAATCTACAATAAGGATGAAAAATCTAATAAAATTATAGAGACAAAGTACAAACATAAACAATCTTTCAAATGAGTTTGCATATTATGCTAAAGTTCAATATGAAGAAGCTGTGTACTTTTACTTTCCTTTATATCTCTTATCTGATTGTCATATACTAGTATCCTTTATGTTGTATTTCTGTTCCTACTTTTCCGCTACTGTTAGGATAAGTTTTATTTTATTCAATTTTGTAAGCCTATCTCTTGGGATCTTATAGGAAATAATTAAGGAAAATAACTTGTTTATTTTGTTTTGTAAATAAAGTAAAACTAACATTCAAACATAAGTACTCAACTCTTGAGTTTGATATATTTCAGCTGCTTTTCTCTCTTCATTATCTATATTGTGTACATGTATTGGTGTATTCTTATATTGCTTGCTCTTTGTTCCTTACTCTACTATTAGACTATTTTCTATAACTTTTGAGCTTATGTGCTACTTTTAATTTAGAGATTATATCATTGGGAGGAAAATGAAACAAAGATAATAAGATATGCCTTTAAAGCCATTGGCTCTAGACGACTCAGTGATATTCTTGGTAAAGAAAGGAAAAAGCATAGGGAAAATGAAAATTATGTTCCCAATTGGATAAGTGGAGCTCACTGGAATGAACTTGTGCAATATTGCAATACCCCAAAATCCAAAAAGATTTCAACAATCAATTCAAACAATAGATTGGCAAATCCATCTCTTCATACAGGAGGATATATTCCCACACATTTGCATGCTGCAAAATTGGTAAGTTTTAATTTGTATAGCTGTAAAATATGTTTCTTTGCATTATTATTGATTTGATACTAACTTTATAATAATGATTATTATATTTGTAGGAAAAAAGCACTGGAAAGAGAGTGATGTTGTCCCAATTATATGTGGCTACACATAAGAAAAAGAAAGACAATTAATGGGTTGATGAGAAATCAAAAAACACTTATGTAAGTTTAGATTCTCAAACTAAAATGATATCTTCATGTTTTGATTATTTATTAATTCATTTGAACTTTTTAGGTGACATTCAAGAAACATATTCAACAAGCTATTGGAATTTTTGAAGAAATTATTGAGGAGGAAGATGGACAACAAGGAAATAGTGATGCTGCTGTAGGACTTGAAAACGAACATGCAGGGGAACAGCCAACCCAACAAGTTGCAGATGATGACCTTCTTCAAACTCAAGCCTCTCTCCCTTTAGAAAAAGTGGCTCAAGCATGGTTGAAGGCTATCGGGGGAAAAAAGTGGTAGAGTTTATGGATTGGGATCACATGCTGTTGTAGTATGTGGCTTTGCTGGCAACTCTGTATTCCACATTAACAATGCTCCATCTCCTGCTGCTCCCTAATCTACAACTGTAAATAATGTTGTTCAAATGCCTGTATTTGAAGAAGCTGTTAACCGTGCTGTAGAAGTAAGGGTACAACATGTTCTTGAAGAAAAGATGAACCAAGCATTAGATCAAAGATTGTCAAATATGAGACTTTCAATACAACAACAACAAACAACAACAACAACAAGCCTTTATCCCACTAGGTGAGGTTAGCTACATGGATTGCAAGACGCTATTGTGCTCTATCATTTATCAAGCTTTTAGGAATATTATTAATTAAGAGATCGCGTTCAACAACTTCGAAGAGTGTTCTCTTAGGCCTTCCTCTACCTCTCTTAATCAGACTCAAAGTTATATATTCCACTCTTCTTACTGGTGCCTCCCTTGGTCTTCTTTGTACATGCCCAAACCATCTCAACTGATTTTCTACCATTTTTTCCTCAATAGGTGCCACCCTCACTTTTTCGCGTACGTGATCATTTCGAATTTTATCTTTAAGTGTATGTCTGCACATCCATCGTAACATTCTCATCTCTGCTACTCCAACTTTATGCTCTTACTGTCCCTTTAGAGCCCAACATTCACTACTATATAACATTGCCGGTCTGATAGCAGTGCGATAAAACTTTCCTTTAAGTTTATTAGGCACCTTACGATCGTAAATAACTCCTTTAGCTTTTCTTCAATTAAACCACCCAGCTTGAATTCTATGTAAAATATCTCCACTAATTTCGCCATCATTTTGAATAATGGCTCCCAAATATCTAAACTTTTCTACTTGAGGTATAATTTGATCTTCCAATTTCACTTCTAAATTATTGTCGAATAGTCCTTTACTAAATTTACAATATAAATATTTCGTCTTACTTCTACTCAGACGAAAACCTTTCAACTCCAATGTCCTCCTCCATAACTCAAGTTTGCAATTAACCTCTTCTCTTGTCTCTGCTATAAGAACTATATCATCCGCAAAGAGCATACATTTCGGAATTTCCCCTTGAATATGTTCCGTCAAAAAATTTAAGATTAAGTTGAACAAATAAGGACTCAGAGATGATCCCTGATGTAGTCCAATCTTTATAGGAAAATTCTTTGTTTGACCACTAGGCGTTCTTATACTAGTTTTTACCCCCTCATACATATCTTGTATGGCTTTAATATAAGCAATACGTACTCCCTTTTTTTCTAACGCTTTCCAAAGCACTTTTCTTGGTATACGGTCATAAGCTTTTTCCAAATCAAAAAAAACCATGTGTAGATCTTTATCTTTACAACGATATTTTTCCATTAATCCCCTTAGTAGATAAATCGCCTCTGTAGTTGATCTACCTGGCATAAAACTAAACTGATTCTTAGAAATACTTGTCTCTAATCTCAACCTGTGCTCAATTACTTTCTCCCACAATTTTATTATGTGGCTCATGAGTTTAATCCCTCTATAGTTAGTACAATTCTGAATATCTCCTTTATTTTTATAAATAGGAATTAATGCACTTCTCCTCCACTCATCAGGCATTTTCTTGGACCATAAAATCACATTAAATAACTTAGTTAACCATCTCACCCCTTCTTCACCTAAACATTTCCACGCTTCGATAGATATACAATCAGGACCGTTGGCTCTACCATTTGTCATTTTCTTAAGAGTTTCCTTTACCTCCTTATCACGTATTATTCAATAGAATGAAAAATTTTGTTCTCCTTCACCATTTACTAAATCCTCCAAGTTACTAGATGAACCCTCTCTATCTTTGAAAAGTTTAGAAAAGTAAGTCTCCCATCTATTTTTAATTTCATCATCTGTAACTAAAATTCTTCCCTCTTCATCCTTAATACACCTTACCTGTTCTAGATCTCTTGATTTTCTTTCCCTACTCTTGGTAATCTTATAAATATTTTGCTCTCCTTCCTTCGTCTCAAGGCTCTCATAAAATTCTTCAAAAGCTTTAGAACGAGCTTCACCCACAGCTCTCTTAGTTTCCTTCTTAGCCATACGGTACCTCTCCCAATTTTTCTCATTGTTACACAAATGTATGACTTTAAAAAATAGTTCTTCTTATACTTGATTTTATCCTGTATACTATTATTCCACCACCAAGACTCCTTATCTCTCGGACCAGAACCTTTTGATTCTCCCAAAACTACTTTTGCAACCTCTCGTATCTTTTTAGCCATATCCTCCCATATGATGTTAGCACTTCCCTGAGATTCTTAAATTCCTTTATCCAAAAGATTTCGCTTGAAAATATCTTGCTTCTCACCTTTTAATTGCCACCACCTAATCTTTGGTGCTACTACTTGTCGACATTTTTGGATTTTACTTATAATACACACATCAAGGACTAGAACCCTATGTTGTGTTGTTACAACATCTCCGGGGATCATCTTGAAATTTTTACAAAGTCTTCTATCTGTGTTTCTAACAAAAAAAAATCAATCTGTGACCTTAAGGCTCCACTTTTGTAAGTGATGAGATGCTCATCTCTCTTCTTGAAACAAGTGTTGGCAATCTTAAAATCATACGCCAATGAGAAATTAAGAAGAGTTTGTCCTTCATCGTTTAGCTCTCCAAAACCAAAACCACCATACACAGTGAAAGGGCCATTCGAACTCTAGGTGAAAGGGTCTCAACTCTACAGCAAAATGCCAATAGCTCTAATTCCTCTAGGCAACAAGATTCTAATCATGATTGTGCAAAATAACTTATGTATGAAGTGTTTTGAACTTGCTGTGTACTTTTCTTGTATTTTGCATAACTCTCTATGTATGAAGTAGCTTGAACTTTATGACTATAATTGATATAGTATTAAATTTTTGTTATATTAATGTGATTATTGTTTATGATTAAAAATTTGGATGGATGATAAGCTATCTCGTTATACAAGAACCAAAATATTAAAAATTTAGAATTTGCTAAATTAAATTAGTGAGGAATTACTAGAGGATTATGTTAAAAAATTTCACAGTTTTAGCGAGGGCTTTAGTGAGGGATTGTCCCTCGCTAAAATCAAATTTAGCAACAAAATAATGAAGGCAGAAACCCTCGCTATAAAAAATAGCAAGGGATTGGTCCGTCGCTTTTATCTTGCCAAAATGGTGAATTTTAACTGAATTTAGCGACCGATTAGCGAGGAATAGTTGTCATCGCTACGTTTAGTGAGGGATTTTAACCCTCGCTATTTCTTTGCTAAATTATAAGATTATATCCCAATTTGCAAGGGCTTTAGCGAAGGATGTATATCTCCTTGCCAATTAGCTAGGGATTTAGCGAGGGATTTATCCCTCACTAAATCCCTCGCTATTTACCAAGGAGATATAAATCCGTCGTTAAATTTAGCGAGCCCGTTTTTTGCAACGAATTTAGCGAGGGCTTGAATCCCTCGCTAAATACTATTTAGCGAGGGAATATGATCATTTAGCGAAGGAATGCTAAATACTATTTTTCTAGTAGTGTCTTCTCCATTCCATATGACCTTCATTATGGCGGTACTTATACATGCCACAATGAGATGGATGAACTTCTCCCTGAGGCATATTCTCCTCATTATATTCTTGATGAAAGACCAATCCAACCTGTCATAAGCTTTCTCAAGATCGACTTTGATAGCCATGTAACCTCGTTGCCTTTTCTTATTTCTCATGATATGGATGCCCTCTTAAGCAATGATGATATTATCACAGCTTTTGTGCCCTGCTATGAAGCTACATTAGTTAGGCTTGATAAGAACGTCCATGTATTTCTTTAGCCTATCTACTACAATTTTGGTAATAATTTTAAGGCTAACATTGCAAAGGGAGATAGGCCTAAATTCTTTTAGACAAGTAGGTTGATCAACCTTTGGAATCAAGCAAATATTTGTCTGATTTACATCATTGACCTTCTGGGATTCTCAAAAATCTCATGGACAAGCTTACAAACCTTCTCACTAATGATTTCCTAATGAGCTTGATGAAAGTGAGCTTCTAGACCATCAGATCCTGGATTTTTAAGGGCTCCCATAGAAAAACATCACTTCCTTAATTTCAAGATTCGTCAGGTCTCTTTGTATAATATCAAAGTCTGTGGCTAAGAGTCTAGGGAAAGAGGTGGGGATGGCATTTGAGTCATGAGTAATCTCTTCTCTTATATAGAAATTTTTAAAGAAATTGCTTGCCATTCTTTTCAATGTCTCAAGTTCATCAACCCACCTATCAAGGTCATCCTTAAGGGTAGTCACATGTTTCCTCCTTCTTCTCACAAGGGTTGAGGCATGTAAGAATCTTGTGTTCCTATCACCCTATTTCAACTAATTATAATGGGACTTCTAGTAGCATATAAGTTCCTCTTCGGCCAGTAGTTTATTATATTACCCCCTAGCCTCATTTCCAACTTCCTTAAGCCATTTCTATCATCAGTGATGTGAGCTTTATCAATACCTTCCAAATATTCAAGAATGGTATTTTTTCTATGAGGGATCCTGCTAAGAACCCTTTTGTTCCACTCAGTTGCTTTCTGTAGGAAGCAATAGGCTCCTTCACACCAATTCTGGTCTTCCTAAGACTTTTTGAAGACATCTTTGAAACTTTTCTCCATAGACTACGCTGCATTGTATATGAAACTTTGCCTGAAGACTTTCTTATTAGAGATAGAATAATCAGCTACCACAATCACACAATGATCAAATTTAAATCTCAAGAAATTCCTAGATTGATAATGCGAGTACTTTAAGGTCCAGGCATAATTGCAAAATTCCTAGTCTAAATTTTCTTTCACTCCTTCCTTTTCCCAAGTAAATCTATCACTAATAATAAGGATATCAAAGAGCCCAGAGGCAGAGATGCAGTTATTGAAATCATTCATGCTTTGAGTACTAATAAAGGTCCCTCCAAGCTTATTATCAAGCCTTCTAAAGGCATTAAAATCCCCTATAAGAATCCATAGATAACTTATAGTAATAGCTAAAGTTTCTAACGTAACGATTCTCAGAGATCACGTTTGTGGTGTTCTTGTGTTTCTCCATAAATAAATGAAGCAAGAAAGAGATCTTGAGAGGAAACATTAGTAATACTACAATGTAGGATTTGGGTAGAAGTCAGATATATCTAACATCAAATTCACTCTCGTTCCAAAGTACCCAGATTCCACCAGCGAAT